GAGAACTAGGGAGGGTCTTGTCTAAGATGCTTACTCAGGTTACATTCCTGCCCTGGACTCAGTCCTCTTTTATCTGACCATTGTTTTGGTAGTGGATCTTCCTCCTGTCCCTCAAGGCCATTCCCCCTTCCCTCTACATAGGCTGGTATGGGAAGCATAGGTCCTTTAGATACCCTTGATACAAGTCATTGATGGCTTGACTTGTAAGATACTGGATCAGACACCCCACCTTACTTGTCCAAAGGTCAACTGTTGGGTTGACCAAGTTGTAAAGCCACAATTGCAATGGAGCTCCATTCGTTCAGCTGGGATTTGATGGCTCAGTTGTTTTAAAACTGAATAATTTTAACTGAACCATTGACTGGGGCAGCAGGTTGTTTTGTTGAAAATGAAACATCAGGAGGAAAAAATTGTCGTGAGAAGAAAGCAGGAGAAAACACATGGTGTAATGAGAGTCTCATAAACAATGAATCCCTGGGAGAGTTCTATGTGAGTTGCTAAGTGACACATGCATCATTCTGAAATTGCAACAGCACACCATCTTTATGCACAGGATTTACCTGAAGTCCAGGTATGGAATGTGATTTTAATCACCGAGCCTCTACTTTTAAAGATGTGAAAATTTGGGGAAAAAAATCACAATGTTTGTTATGATTTTCTTTGACAAGGTTGCCCAGCTTCCCCTCTTCATTAGTGATGGAAAGTGGCACCACATTTGCATCACGTGGACAACAAGAGACGGGATGTGGGAGGCATTCCAGGATGGAGAGAAACTGGGGACCGGAGAAAATTTAGCTCCTTGGCATCCCATTAAACCCGGAGGGGTTTTGATCCTTGGGCAGGAACAGGTGAGCCATAGCAGACAGTTTTGGTTGGGTTCTCTCCCTTATCTTCTTCCTGCACACTGGATTTACACACACAGACACACCCCAACTAACTATCTATGCGACCATTAAGTCGACAATGACTTGATGGCTCATAATCAATCAATCAAAGCACCAACAGTGAGAGAGTTTCAGAAAATGTCCAGTTCTATTCTCAGTAGAACTGTAGGAGGACAGGAAAGGATTGAGCAGATTTTGACATCTACTTTGTTTTTTTACTAAATCCTGAGATCCAACAGCTGAATCTGATGCAAAAAATAGACAGAAAATGTGTTGGAGGACCAGAACTGAAGAGAAACGCTGCCTTTCTATGCCCAGTTTCTCCACCTGCCTCCCATTTTTTTGTCATTTATAATTTATGTATAAGATATGATACGTATAATATATTACAGTCTGATGTAGATGCTGTTGTGATTGAACAAGCGGGGAATCAGAAATGCCTGAGTGATCTATTGCAAAGTACTGAGAGATCTACCTGTAGATCTTCATCTATGTCTTCTAGCAGAATCTTCTCTTTGAAGGAGAAGATGATGTCCAAAGAAGTAGCTACAAGGCTGTGATTTCAGCAAAGAGATGGCTGGAAGAAGGGGAGGGCAAATCCAGATATGGATGCTGAAATTGTGCAAGATTGCATCTAAGAACACACAAATTGACTTCAAAGTGAAATTTCCAAAACCCCATGAGATTTGGTGATCTTGTCAGATTTGAGATTTTTTTAGGTACTTGGGGGTGGAGAAGTTATTTTTTTCCAGGATTTAACTTGTCCGCTTCTTTTAAGCAAAAACTTGCTTGATCCTAATAGATTGTTTGTTTTCATTTGTTTTGAAGGACACAGTTGGAGGCAGGTTTGATGCAACCCAAGCTTTTGTTGGGGAAATGAGCCAGTTCAATATCTGGGACAGAGTCTTAAAACCGGACGATATTATGAAGATTGCTAATTGTTCGATCAACATGCCAGGCAACATCATTCCATGGGTCGACAATAATGTGGATGTGTTTGGTGGTGCCACCAAATGGCCTGTAGAAAGCTGTGAAGAACGTCTGCTTGACTTATAGCCATGGCCATTTCCCATTGAAGTGCCCTGTTTTTATTAAGACAATCTTTGATGCTCTGATATCCCTCTTTGTTTCCTTGTAGAATAATAATATTAATAATTATGATTTTATTTTTTAAATCCTGCTTAATTAGCTGCCCCCCCCGCACAATATACAGTTCCACACATAGGGTGTAGTTTTCCAGGGATGTCTGCAAAAGTCCCCTTGGAATGAATCGGAAATTGGCACAAGTTTGATGTCTCTGGATGGCTGAGTCTGCACATCCAGTGTGCTGAACCCAGACATGGTGATTTGTAAAGTATGTTCTAAGGCTTAAGCCACTATTAGAACAAAGACATTCTGGCCTGCTCAACAAACTATGGCCAGAACAAGTCATGTTCAATGTGTGATCCCAATCAATGAGGTTCTTGCAATGGCCACATGGGCAGGGAAATTCTGGGAGATGAAGTTCACAGATCTGGAGGCAATCGAATTTGGGGCAAGTGGGTTGCTAGCCTGAATTTCAGGCCAACTCAAACTCTGTGATTCAAGTGACACTTCCTGCTGGAGGTGTGTTCCAAAGCTCCAGGTTGGTACGAAAAATTCCCTGGTTGCTTCCTCTGGTTGTGGAGCAAACCTCAGAGGAGTAAATCCATACCCTGTGCAAATCTTTTACTCTTTCTAGCCACACTATATCTGCCTTCACCCAAGAAGCTAAGCTGAAATGGGGTTGGGGTGATTTGTGCTTCAACAAATTCTGGGTTGTTGTAGTTGGTCAGTCGTTAAGTCGTGTCCGACTCTCTGTGACCCCACGAACCATATCGCGCCAGGCCTTCCTGTCCTTCCCTGCCTCCCTGAGTTTGCTCAGTTTCAT